CGCTCACCGAGCACCTCTAGGGCCGGTACTGCACCCACATAATCGTGGTGCCCACGATGTCAATACATCGCACGCCGTGCCTCACTAGAGCCGGCATGACCAAGTGAAATCCGTGATGTCACTATACATGTACAACCCCATGACCGACAAGGCATGAAAAGTTTTTTTACAAAAACCCATTGAGAGGAGTCTGCTCTTAGTCAAGAGAGCTTCGTGTGGAGTAGATAGGGTGGTGATCTATATTTGCAGGTTCACGTCATTTTTATTTCTGTATCGTATATTTTGTTAAGGTGACATTAAATTATAATGCGTGGATTGTATTTTTTCACAGCTTTCCTCATCAAGCTGCGAAAGATACTGCCAGAATAACCACGCGAGGATGCCTTCAACCAGCGTTGGATTAACGCAGGGTTGCGAATTATTCTTACCGAATGTATGATGCTAATTCCTTTGCCTGAACGATGTTAATACATATTTTGTATTATGACGTTTGTAAAATGTGTGGTTTGTGTGTGACGCTCTGAGCTGATTCAGCATTACCCAAGTATTTTGAGCTTGCAACACATAGACCTCCATTCAGTCGCACACACTCATAGGCCTACACTTGGGAGGCAAGTGTTGGTGGGGCCTGCAGATTTAGTTGTTGTTGCAAATCCTAAACTCACTTGCACTTTGTGGTGGTCAGGAGATAGTGCGGCAATTGGGATTGTGAACCCATTTGTGTCTCAAACTTTAAGTCTTAACCTTTAAGTTTTAACGTCTCATAGCATGGGTTTTCTCCGAATACACCGATTCTTTCCTACATCTCTAAACAAGAAACAGACGTCCAGAAGGGGCGGGTCAGAACGGTGCAACAAACAATACAAAAAAATCACTGAAGAAATGTTTTTGTATCTTACCAGGTAAAGCCCACTGAACAATTCGCCTATTTTTCTGAAGTGACCTGGCTACAAATAATCGCTCAATAAAGTGCCTTATCACGTGGATAATTTATCAACGCAAAATGGTCTTAAATTAATGATCGAAACTGAAAACGAAGGATTTTGGACCAAACGTCATAATTCTGCGAGGGTTTTTGGAGAGCAAGGGGGGGAAGCCTCCCAGCCGAGGCACCACCGAGTCGGGGACCCCGGTAAGAACTTCTCGTCAGTCTCAAAAGCTGAGGAGGTTGGGAGGGAAAATGCACAGGCCTGCGAGAAACTAAGGTGTGTGGTGAGGGCGGGGGCACGAATGACTTCAGAGAATTGCTGAGGCAGGACGGTGGACTGTGGTGTGTGTGCGTTTCGGAACAACAGTTTATTTACCTGGACGACTCGTGTGCACCCGGGTGGTGAGATGTTAACTCCCTCGCTTGGTATACAGGAGATTGTGGGTTCGACCCCGACCTTGACGCCTGCTGTGTATTTGAAGTTTGTGGTGTTTCTCTCCCTGTGATTGTGTGGATTTTCCTCCTGATCCTCCGCCCCCCCCTCCCCACATTTAGAATCAACGTGCGTTTCGAGTATTTGGCTGCTATAAATATTTACGTGATAAGCCACTTCGTTGAGCTATGATTTGTGATAGCCAGGTCGCTTCTGAAAAAGAGCTACATAGCTCAGTGGGCTTTACCGGTTAAAATAAAATAGTAAAATAGCCATACTCTGGTTCTTTCGGTAAAGTCACGTAGGTAAAGAAAATAAAATAAAAGATAAAAATAAATTTTAGCTGTGCTTTTCACACCTGATGATGATGATTGCTCGTATTGCAATAGTAATGTCATGATTTAATTTAATTGATTTATTTTTATCTTTTATATAATTTTCTTTACCTACGTGACTTTACCGAAAGATCCAGAGCATGGATCCTTGCAGTCACGAAAACTTCAAATCTAGAATGAGTAAAATAGCCTTCAATAATAGAGTTGTTTTGGGCTTAGATTGCGTAAATATATAAATGTGTCGTTAAACCCCGCCACCAGCCGACACAGCCAACTCTAGTAAGGGTTGTCACGTAATCAAAACGTGCCAATTCGTCACTATTACAGCACACCGGTGTGTTGGAGAGCCAAGCCAAAACATTTACAATCTGAGTACGACGTTTCACCACTAATTAAACTAGCTTAAGTCTAACTTTGTCGTTCCTTACATAGAGGCGTAGATGTGGTAACCACACGTCTGTGCTCTTGCGCAAAGTGGGGTGGGGGGGGATTACTGAGGCAACGTATATTATGCGAGCCCTTTATTTGATCATGTCCTTCCTGTAAATTGTGTATTACAATAGCCGTACCAACTTTCAATAGGGTAATTACCCCCCCTGCGCCCCCCCACCCCCCCCACTTTGCGCAAGAGCGCAGAAGTGCGGTTACCACATCTACGCCTCTATATATTCGTCGCGAAAGCCTACGTGTTAAATTAAAATAGCCTTGTTGGCTGTTGGCCCTCATTCTATACACAACTCGGGATAATCCACTCACCGGTTTCTGGACTGCGCGTGTCGCTGTGGATGTTGAATTCGACGTTCGTAAATGTGTTGTTTTTGCTATCTTTGCATCGTTTTACCAATTGTGAGTTAGGGTCGCCACCGTTAACATTCGGCCAAAGTAATTGGCAAAGGTCGCGCTAAAAAAATTACCTTCTTCAAAGTCAAGACCATACCTGTCCACTCCGAATCAGTGTCCTACCTTATTACAGACCAATTCAGTCCTTATTGGTCATCTCCATGCCCTAGGCGCTCTGCTCCTCCCACCCAGCTTAAAAGACGCTGCCAAGCTTGGCAGTAGTCACTGAAGCGCTGTCTTACTGATAGTTCTGTTTCTTCACCTGAGGAAGGCTACTTGTGTTGTGGCAGAAACGTCTTGAGAATTTCATGTTATTATGTTTTATTTTTATTATTTTATTTCCATTGTACGTGACTTTACCGAAAGAACCAAGAAGATGAATCCCTGCAGTCACGAAAGCTTTAAATTGAAACATTGCCACACCGCTCCGCACACAGCTGACGTGGCATTCTTCAGAGAGGACACTTAAAAAATCTGCTCCTTGTTACATGCTGTCTCGAGTGAATTTGAAGCGTCATTAAAATCGAAGGAAATGTTTCTACATTCGCGTAAAGTGACTTGCGTAATTGTGACGTCAAGGAGCATCATCATAGCATTTGACGCCACACTTTGGAACAAATTCCGTGCCCGTTAAATGCAGCTACCTTACAACATGAACTGGTCCTGGGCATCCCACTCCCTTCGCCAACGCCCGCACTGACCAGCACCATGTATGGTTTAACACACCCCCTCCCCCACGACTGACATGGTGAGAGAGGGGGGGCCCTCGTTACAATGCGCTGTGCACTGTGGCAGCTGGCCGTAAACGCAATGGAGGTGGGCGCACATGTCAGCAAGGTTTATAATAAACGGTTGTGCTTATGTAGTGGAGTAGGAAGGTACGTAGCACAAACAGCGTGATTACCTGATCACACAAACAGTACGGGTTATCTTGGGTCAGCCTGTAGTGAAGGCGAATACAGTGCAGGTTATATTAGGGCAAATAAGCCAGGGTAGCCGTGGACGGCTGTGATTGGTTGGTGCTGTTGCTGGGGCTGGAGAGGCGTCTGGAAGTCTGGCGAGAAACAGGTGCGACGGTCACGCGGAGCGCCGTTGGGACGCGGGTTAATTAATTGGGGGTGTAATGAGAGCGGGTATAAGAGCGGGAGTCGGAGTCAACAGAGGGGAGTTGAGTTGAAGGGAGTTGAGCTTGGAGATGGGTTGAAGTTAGAGAGCTTGGGAGAGTTGGAGTGAAGAGTTGAAGGGTGGAGTTGCTGAGTGCAAAGTCGCTGTGTGCGAAGTCGCTGTGTGCGAAGACGCTGTGTGCGAAGACGCTGTGTGCGAAGTCGCTGTGTGCGAAGACGCTGTGTTCGAAATTGCTGTGTGCGAAGACGCTATGTATGAAGACGCTGTGTGCGAAGGCGCTGTGTGCGAAGTCGCTGTGTGCGAAGACGCTGTGTGCGAAGACGCTGTGTGCGAAGTCGCTGTGTGCGAAGACGCTGTGTTCGAAATTGCTGTCTGTGAAGTCGCTGTGTATGAAGACGCTGTGTGCGAAGGCACTGTGTGCGAAGTCGCTGTGTGCGAAGACGCTGTGTGCGAAGACGCTGTGTGCGAAGTCGCTGTGTGCGAAGACGCTGTGTGCGAAGTCGCTGTGTGCGAAGACGCTGTGTGCGGAGTTGCTGAGACGGAGTGAGAGACGAAGCAGTTAGCAGTGGAGTGAGCATAGTGATGGTGATAACGGTGAACAGAGACGAAGCAGTTAGCAGTGGAGAGAGCATAGCGAGGGTGATAGCGGAGAGCGGAGACAAGAAGTTAATAAGGAATAAGCGAAGTAATCATGGGGAGTGGAGAGACAAAGGTGGCGAGCGAGTCGAGTGAAGCACGGCGAGCGAGCCGTGGCGACCAGGATACTGTGGAATGTGGAGGACATGCTGAGAGTTGTAAATAAAGCAGTGTTCGAAGAAAGACAGAAGTTGTCTGAGTGAAATCGAACACTACACTTATACCGGGAGTAAATTAGGTGGAGTTTCAAATCAGAAATTGTTCTGTCACTGCTAGGGCCTTCAGCTGTGACAGAAGCGGACTAAAATTAGAAAGACCATGCTATAGCCAGGTCAAAAATATTTCCCTCTAGTACCTGATTAGTGCGGCTAAGATGCTCACAGTGATAGATATTGCTTGTGGGCCATGTCGAAGTGATGGGTCTCACGTGGTCGCGAGCCGTATCAAGTTGAAACCTAATTTCTTCGATTGAAATGTTAATTTATTAAAGATTGAAATCTATTTTCTTTAGAACTGATCTTTCTGCATTTAGTTTCTGGCCCTTTCCACCGCACCTCCGATTTGCGCGGTTGGCGACGTACAGCGCAAAAGAAGTTCAACATACACACGTACACACACAGAGCTCCATACTCTTCTGCGCTACATTTGCATCGGCCACAACGTGCGCCACTTTCTTTGTCAGACGGGTGGCTGCGCGGCGCCAATGCGGGTGCGCTCAGGACCACCTGCCCCACGTGTGCACGTGCGCTTGTGCAGCATCACGCAGGCCATGGATGTGGCGGCCACCGTTCGGTCGGAGCAGCTGCCGGTGAGCGTCAAGCTCGTGCTGGAGGTGTCCCACCGAAGCTGGGTCATCAATTCCCGCGCTGCACAGAGACGGCAGCCCCTACATGAGACCCATGCAGGTCAGCGAGCCGGACGAGGGGATGGAGGTGAGTGTGGTGCAGCGAGGCCTCAACACCGCCCAGCCCACAGTAGCTGGGTTTGTGCCACGAGCTGTGACTGAGCCGTTACCACACTGCTCCTGGCACCCGGGCTTTGCTAATGACCTCCTCAGCCAGCTTTCACCATGCTACCCACGGAAACTGTCATCCCATGGCTTGTCGGTGAACCTTCACACCACTCACAGTAGCTGGCTCCGTGTCACGATCTGTTACTATGCCTTCACCACACTGCTAACGGTGTGGAGAGATGATGACCAATAGTCTGGATTTAAGAAGAGGAATTGAGAGTGGCTGCGTCCACGTTGGTGGGATGCGAGGGCGTGTGTTGTGCCCAGGAGGTCGCGAGGATTTTGGGCGACTGTAACCCTTCTCCCCTTCCCTCCCAAGTATTTTTTAAACAGGGTTTGAGAAGTCATCGCTGCAGAACCCCCGGCCATTCGTCTGTCGGCCAAACTCGGAGCAGTATCAGCGCACAAGTGGGGGGTGGGGGGGGGGGTGCGTGTACTGTGGTGGCGTTGAGCGGCGCTTGTTGGCTCGGCGATGTTTTCGCGGGTGGGTGGTGGACGCCGCCGTGCCGCTGTGGGCGGTGTGTATAAAGGGTGGACGATCATGTCTGGTGCGGAGGCTCACGTGAGTTGGCATCGGTAAACTTCATTGCACGTGAGTTCTTAACCATTTTACCCATCCCGAGGCAGTCTGCAAGTTGCTGGGTGCGGTGTCCCGTTCGCCGCCGAATGTCAGAGCATGCAAGCGGTTCGCCGTTAGTTTCATTTAGAGAGGCGTAGCGCCGTTGTTTTTAAAGACATTGCACTCACCGCAGAGAACCGTAGCGACACGACCTAACTCTACGATAGCTGGCGCCAAACTGCGCCACACGCCCTTCCACATGATCTTGTGGGAGCCTCGGGTACGTCTTCCGACCTGAAGACGTATCTAATAAACTTATTTTCTTTTGATCTTTTCTTCTGATTTCGTTCCGATGACGTACACATACATCACCGGAATGGGAGAGGGTTAACAGTCAACATAATATTGACTTTTAAGAAACGTAAGTGTGCTCGGGCAGCAGGACGCATCATCATTGGCGTGGACGATGACCGGCGGTCGAGACGAAAGGAGGAGTGGTTGTCAAAAAAAGGGAAACACGGCCAGGAGAGGACATCCACCACGGAAACGGAGCAAAGGAATCAGTTTGTGTGCTGGAGCTTGGGGAGTTATTGCATCGTAGGACATTGAGGGGTGAAAACGGCATGGAGAGATCTTAATACAGCAATGGTTACATCATGGTCGATGATAATGAGGTGTCAGAATGTTGTATATGGCCCTTTTTCCAAAATTGATATTAATAATATTTGAGGATTTTTTTAAAAATAATAACGGATAAATAAATAAGTTAACAACCTCAACGATAAGAACCGACACCCAGAATAAGCAGCTGGAGGTCGTAAAAAGCCATTAAATAATAAACGGGGGGATACAGACTCCCCCTCCCCTCACACACCACAGACTCCCCCTCCCCTCACACACCACAGGCCGCCAGGAGATAAACCATAAACTGTAATAAACAAAGAGGGAAAGGGGGAATTACTAATGAAGCCCGAGGGGAAGCTCCAGGCTTCAAAGACTCCATCTTGGAACCCCCAGACAATGAGACGCCACGCACACGCGAGGTTTAAAACTATTTTACCCTTCGTTGCTCTTAATACAACGGTTAAATTTCAGAACTTAGCAACAAATGAGTCGACATCATAACGAATCCACACACTTTACACAATAAACAACACCAGACTATAATCTCCCTAGTGGGTTATTACTTCACATACATAATATTAACACTAACGTTATTCACCTTAAATTAAATTACATCTTGCCGTTACACGACCTTGCAAAAACCAAGGGATATGAATTCCAACAATCAAGAAACTGACCTCTTAAACTCAGGACATCAAAAATAAAATAAAATAAGTAATAACTCAAGCATAACAGGACGGATCCCTGGATTCAGATGGGGATGAAAATTAATGAAACCTAGGAAGTGCGTCGTGATGACGGTGTTATTTCACAAATCTTGGGAAACGTGAGCCAAGATGATCATTGTGCAGTATTAAACCGAGGGTTATCGAGAAGGGATGAGGCGAAATGGGTCGGGCTTACACAACTAAGATAGACTGTGTCCCATAGGGAAGGAGTCTCCCAACCGTCTTTGTCTTCCCGCAGCACGGATGGCAAGGAATGTAACACCTTGGGGAGGGCGACGGTGATCACAGGAAGGGACACAGATGGCTTGGGAGAACACACACACCGACACGTGCGGCACACCCCCCCCCCCACAACGCAGAGCGAGATCAAAGAAAATCCGGTCCGTTGTAAGAAGGCGGAACCAGGGAGGAAAGGGGGGGGGGGAATTTCTCAGGGCCTCGCAGCTTCCAGGGAGCGAAACCGGGCAGACAATCCACATAGTGGGTAACACAATATTAATGCTAACGTTGTTCACCTTAAATTGTATTACATCTTGCCGATACATGACCTTCCAAAAACCAAGGAATACGAATTCCAACTGTCAAGATGCTTACCTCTCAAACTCAAGACATCAACAAAATTAAAGTAAAGAATAATTCAAGCACAAGAGCACGGATCCCTGGATACAGACGGGGGAACGGAAATTTATAAAAACGGGGAAGTGCGTCGTGGTGACGGTGTTAAATCACAAATCTTGGGAAACATAAAACCAAATAACATTTGTGCAGTGTTAAACCAAGTGCCAGCCAGAGAGAAAGAGAAACTCCCGGCCGCCTTTGTCTTCCAGCAGCACGTGATAAGAATTTTCATATGCTCGAGAGAGCATCTCCTCTTGGAAATAAAAATCAAACACCACGATGGAAAACTACTACAACATACCTTGAGTCACATACAGAATCATAACTGCAAGTGGTACGGAACCAAACTATGATAAAAAAAAATGTTAACTTCAAAAGCCTTAACACACCCTTTGTGCGGCGGAAAATGTCACACCGGGAGGGAAGAGCAGGACAGGAGGCTCGCCCCCTCCTCTCAGATTAATTAATGCAGAGAGTGAGATGGAGGGATGCACTTGGGGCAATCTGAAACATCTGTTTCCTTTTGATGTCTTTTATGGCTTGAGGAAGGCGAGGGGACCATGCCTTGATGAGACTAATATTACCTCAATAAATGACACACACACACGGACACACGACAATCCATACCCCACCACAAAGAGCGAAATCAAAGAGAGATCCGGTCCTTTGTGAAAAGGCAGAACCAGAGAGAGAAATTTTGGCATAAAAAGAGAGACCCGCGAGCATGAATCAGATCAGCAACCAGCAGCAGAAGCCGGCGACCAACCTGAAGATACCAGCCAACCACCGATGCAGAAGAAGACTCATCAACTCACCAGAATGGCGAGGCTCGCTGTTTAGCGACATGCTACGTCGTGCGAGTTCAGCACCATCAGAAGAAGTGCCGCCAACGAACGAAGCATCGTTCATCGCCAGAGAGCGCGCCACCAAGCGACACCAAGCAAGAGTGTCAACTGCCAGCAGACGAGGCTGTTGTGCCAACTCGCTCATCCAGCAGGGGAAAGAGCCTGCCCAGCTGCCCGTGAGCAAGGGTGTCAACTGCCATCGGACAAGCTGCGGCCGCCATCTGCCGACAGATCATCGCGCGACGGCGAGCACCGTGTCACTCGTCAACTGCTGTGGGCCGAATTCCGGCCGACCGCGTGAAAGAAGGAAACCCCGCTAATCGTATGATACGGACTCTGCCCCACACTACAACGCATCACATGGCGTCTGCTTGACGCAAAGAATTGATCACTTGCCCACTAACCTTTCATACCACTCAAAACATACACGAATCACTAATAAGAAGCCTAATTATCAAGTACATGAACCATCAGCTGGCCGTGAAGGCATCGAGTGATGAGAATATGTCGTTTATAAGTACATTAATTGTTTTGTGATTTTTACTTCCAACCGCATAATTACCAATAGATTCATCGATACAAATTAAACCTTTGAAACTTTCGCCACGAAGCTATACGCTCACAGGGAGAATATTGCGTTAAGGCGGTTTCTTTATCATACAATCTTGTCCACGAATTAATGAAAAGCTTAGCCACAGATAAGGATCTCCCATGGGAGAGC